TCTGTTACATCCAAACTCCCTTACATCTCTAATTAAATTAGAATTTGTAAAAAATAAATAGTTAGTTTAAGTTCGTGAACTACTGCTTTCGAGTATTAGTTCCCACACCATGACTCCGTTTAGCTCCAAAACAGATCAAGTCGCTCCATTTTGGTCCGATGTGTTACCATTGGATTTTATCGATGTTCTTGCGTGTGGTTCGGGATTTAACCTTTTTGGTCATCCCTGCTATATATAATTGAAGATAATGATTTTCTGCGAGCTTTGCTTAAAAATGAAAGAACACGAAAATTCCAAAACAAAAATAAATGTTTGTATATTTGGGAAACTCTGTAAATACATATTTTACTGGAACCTAAATAAATGCAAATTACAACAAACTTGAAGGGTTAGGTTAAATAAAGGATATTTTCGCATTCATATATTTCATTTAACATTCAGAATATAAAATATACATTATTAAACATTATTTGAAAATGTTTTTTTTTTTTTTGAATTCCGAAAAATTGGTTGTAATAACGCGATAATCATGCGAAGTACTGTACTAAAATTCTGCTTAAAAGCCAACCCTAGTGAAAAGAACCAATTCGCTGGAGGAAGTTCATTGATCGTCTTCGGACTAAAGAACTACAAGCAATAGTTGATTATATGTCAAGCAACCACTTTTTCATAAACATATGCATATAAAATCATGAACACGCAAAAAATGGTTTTGGAGAAAGATGTCGAACTTTATTTAATTTTTACACAAAGCTTCCGACAGAGACAACAGCCACGGCAAAAAATAATCGATGCAAAGCATAAATTTAAGATACGAATTGTAAAGTTTAAAAATAATTTCTGTGTGTGTTCCTATATTTCCTAAATAAAATGAAATAAATACACTTTCGGAGTAGACATGTTAATAAATAGGAGCATACATACATATATACCTGTATGTATGGCCATATACACTTTACTTACCATAATAAAGTTTAATTTACCTAAAGGTGTTACTAGTCACGATATCTGATTCCTAAATTATAATAAAATATAATAAAAAATATACTTATCTTAAATAGAAGGAGGTAATTGGGATCAATGGAATGTATATATACAACACAAATTATCTCTGCAAATTACTCTGCCAAGGCACATGTGTTGTAAAAAATAAGATGTCTTCTGTTCTCGTTCGTGACTTATTGTGCAGGTTTGCATATCGTAATAATAACACTACACTATTTTACAATCATTTTGCAACTGTTTTATTAGAGGCTTTTGTTTTGCTAATTTTGGGTTGCTAAAACTGAAAATGATAGAAAAATTTCCTTGGAAATCTACTAATATTTAAATCGAACTGGAGGGCTACTTTATGCCTGCGTATTGTGGAGAAGTCTTTTATATTAACCTAGATCTTTTCACGTCGTCGCTTGTAATATAATATGTTAGGTGAGCGATCAGTAGTATAAACCAAAACCAGTATTTGCGAAGAAATTGTCTACAAAAGATTTATTGTAGTATAAATATATTTGCAACCGTTCTACTAAATAAAACCCGTTACTCTTAAAATCACTTTTTGATTTCAACTCACAGTACACATGATAGGAAAATTGTAGAATAAACGTTCATTCTGTACTATAATCAGTATGTGATGGAGCATTTTTGAATTTCAATTCGTAATGAGGACATCTCAAATATGCCCATAGACCTCTTAGCATATCAGCAGCAATTCAGAATTTATTCACATTTGTTGAGTGGTATTATTATTACATATTTCCAAACCGGCCGATAGGTTGATGATGTAGAAAGTCTTTTTTTATGGTAAAATAAAATTCAATTCACATTACAGCAGTCACTTATGACAAAGTACTTTATTATTTACATACATATGTATAATACACATTCGAGTTGTATACACAAGGTATATTAACCTCAAAATAAAGCTTGATATCAGCTTAAATGATCTTTTCAGACAAAAAAAAATTTAACAAAGAAGTGTAAACTAAAAACAAAAAACAAGTAAGGATGGCTAAGTTACACCCAAACCGAACATATCCTGTTATTGTAATTTGCCAGGATCAATGCTGGAGAAATACCTTCAGGTGCAAAATGTTTGTTAGTTATGTTGGCCGATATATGTGACATAAAGTAAACTTAAGTTAATTGACATACGGACACGTACATATATACTATTAACAAATAAACATTTTTACCGATTTTTAATAACATATCCCACAGATTGTCCGTTACGAAGTTACCATACGCACGCGATCCACATATTCGGTATATGGGAGCTTGAACAGTTAAGGATTTCGACATTTTTTAAAATCGAGATGGTACTCCTCAAAATCATTATTTGAATTAAGTTTTATCCGAATATATTCATTGTTGCTTGATTTGTGTACTAGAAAGGGAAGGAATAATATGGGATTTAAAATTGTGGTATATGGGAAGTAGTTATAGACGTATTTCACCCATTTTTCCACGAGGGATGCCAAGATGAAATTAAATACGAAAATTTAATATGATATAAATAAATCTGGACGATGCGGCGTTTATCATCTTAATTTGACTTCGGTTCCCATAACGCCCTTTTATATCATCCTGCAATAAAATTTTATGCCTCTGGCACAATTGGTTATGTATTTATTTGGTATTGTAGTTTTAGTGGCTTTGAAGATATGTACATTTAATCTGTTGGAGGGCGGGCCAGGCACATTTTTTCAAAATTTATGGCTGATATTTTTCCTTTGTTATTGCAATCCTCTGTATAAAATTACAGGTTTATATCTTAAGTTAGTACTAAAGTATGTCATACTTGTATAATTTTCGATTCGTTTTGTTAGCATGTCAGTGGTCCGATTGCGCACATTTCCGAATTCGTTCTCACTTTTTTGGCACGAAATTCATGTACCATGATAAAGATATTTTCATTTCTACTCAAGTTATCGCGGGCAAGGGCGAATAGACGGTCCGAAAAATGGGTGCTACAATAATATTTCCTGCTATCCTTTTGATTACCAATCGTGGGCCATTGCATAATTGAGTTGAATTGAAATTACACTGAGCATATAATTAATCGAACAATTCTCAGCTGATGATTATATGATGTCATTCCGGGATGTATCTGGGCTGATGGCGCGATTTCTAGGTTATCGTTAGGGATGATTAAAAGATTTGTGCTGAGCAAATTTAATTATAGTACTTTAAATTGTTTAACCCCCTAGAGGGCATGGCCACGCCGGCAAATCTTTTAGGCCACAAGTGCCCCTTGCTAAAATTACAGTCTGAATTCAGTCCTTGGTATGGGATTTTGTAAGTTTTCGTTTAATGGGATTTTGTGGACAGCCGTTATGACCTCTCCTTTTTATGAAAACGGCTTGCCACGCATAAATTTTGTTGAGTTCTGGAAATAAATAAAAAAATCACTGGGTGCCAAATCTGGTGAATACGGTGGGCGCTTTAACAATTCGAACGTTAGTTCATGGATTTTAGCCATTGTCAAAATGTTCTTGTGACACGGTGCATTGTAGTGTTGAAAAATAATTTTTTCTTTTGCAAACAGTTAATTTTTTCACGAATTTTTTCCTTTACCTGGTCCAAAAGGTTGCAATAACATTCAGAATTAATCGTTTCGAAATCGAATAGGATCATGGTGATATACCCAAGTCTCATCAATAGTGATGAATCGACGCACAAAATCCACTTTATCCTTTTTAAAACGCTCCAAATGTTTCTGAGAATGTCACATTCGAATTTGTTTTTGTTCCATTGTTAGAGAATGCGGCACTCATTGTGCACACAGCAAAATATGGCTCACGTTGCCTAATGAGATGTGTAGAGCCTCTACTAAATCTCTCTCAGTCAATCGACGATCTTTCAAAATCATATTTAGTATTTTGGCTATGATTTCTAGTTTTGATGCGCGTTTTGAACGTCCTTCACGTGGATCGTCTTGTACGACCACGTTTAAATTCAGCAACCCATCTTTCTACTAGTTGTTGGTGAATACATACACTTTTAACATTCATTCGTGAATTATTTTTAGTGCTAAATCTTCCAAAAATAAGAATTTTATAACTGTACGATTTTGAATTTTTTCCATTGTAAAAAAAATATTGAGACACTAAATGGGTTGTAAACAAAGAATTAATTGACAGATTGAAATGAAACTTCACATACTACTGTGGTCAAATTGAAAGGTGATTTTTTATCTATATTTCGCGTGTTTTTCGAATCGGTTTTCTGTAAGTTTGTAGTACTGTAGTGACATCTATGCTAAATATTCATTAATACTTGAGATACGCGTCATTTTGTGAGGCATATTCTTCGATTTTTACTTTCTCTGTTATATACTATATACATAGGTAATCTAAAGAATTTAATTTTTGTTGTTGTTGTTGCTGTGAAAAAAAAGTTGTGCAAGGTGGGGAATGTTGGGCACATGGGGAATCCCGGGCCAGCGCGATAATTTTTCCCCTAGTATAGGTTGACAGCTGCAACCAACTGTCATCGACTCGTCTCATACTAAGCTCAGTTTCTATATAGCACTCGAGCTGTGAACACGTGTTATAACCTCTCTGCGACAACAAAAAGAAATTCGACACTCCGAAAGTTTTTTTTTCAACTTTGTGTACAGTTGATTTTTTTCACATTTTCCAATAAATTCATCCAGGTAAATATGTTTATAATATTAGTTGAGCCTTTAGCCTTCGACACGCAAAAGAAATTTTGCACGAATTTACATTGTGTTCATTATCCATCGCCATTTTGCAAATACGAGCGTTTGGGGAATCTCGGGGCACTTATTACGGGGAATGTCGGGCCACATAGTTTTTTACATTTGACATGCTAACTTCATATATTTGACGTGTATAAGTGATTTTTCGTGCAAAATTTCAACAACACAATAGCTTTTCAACATTTCCTGATAGAAAATTGTTGATTTCGACAACATTTTGGAGGCGATCAAGTCGGTGAAAATACATCACAACAGCGTTCGACAAGCGAGGACCAACCTGATGCGTTATATTGCAGCATTTGATGGTGCGAGCATCGACGTTACTACTGCMAATRCCGATGTAATGAAGAATTTGCTGGCTGAAAGCACGACGATAGGCACAAAAACAGTGAGTTCTGCTGRTTTCTTTCTTTTTCTTTCATCGAATAATAAATAATTTTTTTTTTATTTCAGATCTTCAACATCGAACAAGAGAAGGCGCTAATAAGCTACATTCTCCAGGCCAGCGACATCAACTATGGAATGAGTTTGATGGAGCTTCGTAAGCTCGCGTATGAATTTGCTCAGAAAATTGGCGCGTCGTATCCAGATCCATGGAACGACAATCAACAGGCGAGTAAGGATTGGCAGTTGGCGTTCATGAAMCGCCACAAAAATTTGTSACTGCGAACACCAGAGCAAGTAAGCCAGAGCCGTGCGAAGCGATTCAACAAAGAGAATGTCGATGCATTCTTTGCCAAYCTTTCATCCGTTCTCGGTAAGACGCCGTTTGAACCTCATCGAATATGGAACATGGATGAAACCGGGTGCCCGACCGTGCCAACCAGACCTGTCAAAACCATCGCGCGCAAAGGACAAAAGCAGRTCGGCTCATCAACATCTGCCGAWAAAGGCACCMATGTGTCTTTGGCTTTGGCCGTCAGCGCTAGTGGCCAGTCTATACCGCCATTCTTCCTCTTTCCCCGAGTCAACATGAAAGAGATTTTTATGACTCATGTTCGCATTTATCGATCGAGGCGATAGATTTGGCGTTGGATCATGGCAACACGTTGCTGTCTTTTCCGCCGAAATGCACGCACAAAATGCAGCCGCTAGATGTTGCGGTATTTGCACCATTTAAAGGCATTATGACCATGAAGCATGATGCATGGAAAAAGTCCAACATTGGTGTCACTTTCGATTTGCATCATGTGCCGCTCCTTGTCGATCAGTGCCTCGATGTTATGTTAGCGCCGAAAACCATCAAATCCTGCTTCCGAACAGCTGGCRTCTACCCGTTCAACCCGCAAATTTTCACTGAGGTTGACTTTGTCGCTTCGGAACTGAGCGGCGAAAATTTGTTCGGTGACGAAGAGAAAGACGCCGACAATCAACGTCGAGACTTGCCTCTGGTGATGCCATTGTGACTACTGCGAATGAGGAGGTGTCAACGTCGGAGGCATCGACAAGTGCCCCAGCTTCAACAAGTGGTGCTTCATCATCGTCGTTGTCTCTTGTTTCGGCTCCACAGCTCCGTGATGCATTGAAATCGGTWGKCCCGTTGAAATTGGGCACACCTGCGCCGAAATCAAAACGTGGCCGCAAGACAATGGAGTCAACGATTTTGACATCGCCTGAGGTTGTCGCAGACATGCTAAAAAGCGGCAAAAATTGACGAAGGCAGCCGATGAACCAGCAGCCAAGGAGCAAAAAGGCCATGGCAAATCGAAGACGCCACGGAAGAGAAGCCCGTCTCCGACCGAAACCGACATCGAAGAGGACTTCGATTTTTGCACGATTTGCAAGAAAAAGATGCCGAAGCACGAGAATCGTCAAAACACGGTCCATTGCATTGTTTGTGATCGAGGGTTCACTTGAAATGTGCCGGACCGAACCCGAACACTTACACCTGCATCCACTGCGAGTCGGAATAATTTTTTTCGCCAATTCCTATTTTTCTTATTATTTATGAATCTCTCTTTCATTTCCATTGATAAATAAACGTTTTTCATCGGTAACAATCATGTTTTAATCGATTTACAGACTGGCCCGATATTCCCCCCCTTTTTTCAAAATCGCAAAATCAGGTTTTTTGCGCCAATGGCTATAACTTTTAAATTTTTGTAGAATTTTATCAAACCAATGTTATCAAAAGGAAGGTTACGACTCGCACTAAAAATCAATGCTTTGGAATTTTCACAAAAAATAACTTTTATGTGACTTTTTAACCGAAATCAAAACCATGCCCAACATTCCCCAAATTCCCCTACTTTATTGTTGTAGATCTTGATATATGTGCTAGCGATGAAGTCAAATTGGTAATGATAACGGTACATATGACTAAAAACAGAGAAAGCGAACTGAAGATTAAAAGTATTTACATACACTCTTATTGCGTCTAAAGTATTTACACAAAATTAAAACTTCTTTAAAGTTTCTTATCTTTTCTATTAATAATTTTTATGTTCTGTTGTTTAGTTAGCACCTGGCTGTACGGAGGGCTTGCAGGAACAACTTGCTTCATTTAAAAGTCTCGTAGGTAACCATCCTTTATGACATGGAGCGTTGTCGTTCTCTAAAATCCAGTCGGCAGTTGGAAAAAGCCGATTGCTCTATACAAAGGCACTGTTGAAATGCAGCTTTATCTGTCTACAATATATTACACCAAAATTATGTAGACTTTCGGATGTACTCTAAGGCAAATTACAGGCGTCTTGATTTATTAATTTTAGAAATGTAGACAACTTTTCGTGCAACGACAGTATTTATATCAATTTCTTTTAATTTCTGGCGAAGTGTAGCATCACTGACTTTCTTCCAATAAGGTGATCTGATGCTGCTGCAAAAGAAGAAACGACTGGCGCGCTGTTCTTAACGCGGCTATAATCGCGTAAGCGGTGACTACGCTAATCAAGATGCTGCTGCAATATAACGCCACTTATTGTGGAATTTTGTATGATTTCCTCTTTAACTTGTCCAAGCAATTAATATTTTCAATCTTTTTTTAACTAAATTGTAAACCGGTTTCCTTGAAGTTTTGTAGCAATTTACTAACGAAGCTAAAATGCCACTTTTGAACTTGGTAATAATCTCCGAGAGAGTTTCAACCTACAACTCCTTTGTTTTCGGCATTTTATATATAATTCTTAAATTCTACAGCACGTTTAGCTTATTACGAACTGTGTCGGCTGTCTCCGGATCGAAAAACCTCCAACCAGATCGATCATGTTGTTATATACGGAAAATACGTCTCCAGTAATTAAGATGTGCGTGCGCTCCGAGGTCCTAACATCGACTCGGGGCACTATTTTGTTGCAACCACGATCCGCACCCGCCTGTGTGCAGCAAACAACGCACGTCAACAAACACAAAGAAGGTTCGACGTCGAGAAGACTTGCACTCCTGCTCTCTGAGAGCACTCGTTAAAAACCCGGTATAAGGGAACTGCGGGACGGCATTTCGAGCTAATTACGTACATTTGCAACCGAAATAATTGGTTTTCGGAAAATGCAAAAGAACAGCTTTTTCGACGGGAAGTACCGTGTCGCAGCGGAGAGAAAGCAAACTGAGAGTTGAAGAGGGAAGCGAAACGCATTTGCAGACTGAAAAAGAAAGAGGCCAAAATGCGTGAGTATGAAGAGCTTGACAAGCTCGCCGACAGAGGTAATGCTTGAAAACTCTACGAAAAAATGCGGCAGCTAACAGAAATTTTCAAGGCCAGAGCATACTCTTGTAGAACCCACAGAGGTGATCTGATGCCCAGAACATACTAAAATTATGGAGAGAACACTTCTTCAATCTGCTGAATGTGTCAAATCTTGGAAAACACCCGTGAAAAGAGAATCGACACTTATTACCTTTTCGTTGTTGTGGTTCTGCCGCTACAACTACAACAACAACCTTTTCGTAGATTTCGAAGTTGCTTTCGACAGCACGAAAACGAGCTGCCTTTATGCTTTATTCGAGCTGCAGAACTTAATCGAGCATGCCCAAACTATTATGAGAGTGTAAAGCTGGTGGCGTACGTCGATGATCAATATCGTCGCACTCAACACCCATGTTGTTAGTTCTGCTTTCTCCAGACTTAACGAAGAAGCAAAGCAAATGGGTCTGGCAGTGAACGAGGACAAGACAAAATATCTCCTGTCATCAAACAAACAGTCGTCGCACTCGCGACTTGGCTCTCACGTCACTGTTGACAAAGAAATATTGATGGTCCTTTTATTCCTACAAACAACCATATATCAGGACATTGCGAAGTCGAACAGCCTCGGGTTACTCACGCTGCGCTGCATAAGTCTCTCTTTAGCATAACTTTAAGAAATTCATATGATCTTAAGTAAAAGTTGTAAATTTGGGGAGTGAGGAAATAAAATATATTGCTTTAGACTTGTATATTATTTGCTAACATATCAAAATGTTTAATTATTTTATTTGGTTGGAATTAAAAACGTAGTATAGATAATTCGCGAAAAGAAAGCCAAATATTATAATTTGTTTTTATGAAATAGTTAAAACCTACAATATTTGAAATGTAGTGGTAAATTACATTATGACGTTAGAAAAATATTTCGATAAATGTATATAGAGAAATATGGGTGATCCACTTCGAGGTTCTCTACTTTATTAAGAAAGAAACACAGAAATTTCAATTTTAATGGGGAATTTTTATGTTTATGTTTTATAATAATAAAATGTTTTTATATTTTTATTCAAAAGGATGGAGCACGACTTGGAGGAACATTTGTTAAAAAATATGATGCGGGATGACGACGACAGTGAATTCAGACATTTTTCACGCATTGACATAAATAAGTTTAAAACCTGTTAAAATGATAAATATTTATGATAATTGTGGTAAATATACGGCAAAAAAATAATAAAAGGACATATTAATTTCTATAATTAAGTTCAACTGCGGCTGATAAAATTGGCACTGTAATGTGAGCAGCTAATACACCCCGAGTGAAATAGTGTGTTGCTTTAAGGTACTTACGTCCTGGAGACTTCTAAAAATCCTTGGATTTTTTATTAAGAATTTCCAGAAGTACAATAGCTGTATGCTCGAAGTCTTATAAATAATTTATGTGACAGACAGCCGACTAAGTCTTCGTTTAATTGCTTAGATGCTAGATTTATCAAAATCTGTGGTTCTTGACATTTAAACATGTGCAAGGTGTGGGCGAAGATCATCCCAAATGTGCTCACTGATGACCAGAAATTGCGGCAAGTGCAAGTGTGCCAAGAAAATGACCCCGAATTTTTGAATAACGTAATCACAAGTGAAGGATCATTGATTTCGAGTATCCTTGCCTGAAAAGTGGAAGGCAAGCATTTTGAGACGACAGAGCATGCACCTCGGCTCTCAAGGCTATTCTGGAGAATGCCTTCCGTGACGCCTTCAAATCTAGGAAATCTCGCTGCCAGCGCTGAATCGACGCAGAGGGAGCCTATTTTGAAAGTTTTTAAAGGATTGTAACGACTGGTTCAATACACTTTTTTAAACCGACTCAGTCTTATTACTTTCCGGACAAACCCTTTATTAAGACTGTGAGAGGTTTTAAAGCAATCTCTTGTTTAATTGCGCGTGCATGAATGAACGTTTCATTTTGAACGCAAATACCCCGAATATCCCTCAACTCTTTGATTTTACATCTCCGCTGTATGTTCTAGCTAATGTTGAAATCCATCACAACGCAAAGAAACATGTGGCGTTACTTCATGATTTTGTCTAGAAGTCGTTGGAGTGGTGCCGCCGACATAGATGGACGACGATTCTCCTCTGCTAGAGTTGTTTTGTGATGACCGAGGTTTTTTTTGGTGCATTTCCTGAGCTGATCGCTTCAAAGGTCCATCTCATTGTGAAATTCTAAGGAAAATAAAATGATCGAAAACTTTGAGGGTTCATGTCCTAGAGGGAATAGAAATTCGGTAAAGCGGGACAAGATCCATTTTATCTACGCCAACGATATTTGACTCAGATCCGCTTTACGCACTGCCAGTTCTGCTAACATTTTGTTTTGTTGATTTCTTTGACTGTCGAC